AGTGTTCACTTTTTCCCAAAGTGAAAAGTAAGCACGATTTTGGATGATAGCTTCACCGAAGCCAACAGGAGCTTTCTGTCACTATTATAATCCAGAGATGTTCAGTCTCTTCAAAGAGATCTCAGTGATACAAACAGTACGCTGTGGCTCGCATGCCACAGGTTCGCCACCATTGCTTATAGCCTACTTCTCTACCAAATATTGGAAATAACACCACAAACCGCTTGCAGTTGTATTCTCCATTACATGCCTTTATTAACAAAAGATAAAATACTAAAGAACAACTGTCAGCCTGCTTGGGGGTCCCAAGGGAGAGTTTTGTGGGTGAGGTCTGAAGGCTGAAGAACACAGGCGTGCCAAGACAACAGTAATAACAGCAGGCAGCATGGAGCGGAGCAGAGCACAGGAGCGCAAGAGCCACGGCCGCCTGTCTTTCGTGCATCCATCTTGTACAGGCTGTTACCTCACTTACAATCCTACATAGTGCCGAAAGCACCGCACTCGCTTTTACCTGCATTGAGTCATAGTTATATAACTAGCCCCTGTGCACCTGCGCTAGACAAGCAGGGTCTCATCCTCAGGTGTCCTCAGATGCCCCTGAGCTCTGAAGCCGCCTGAGTGGTTCCCACACTGATGTTAGACTCTATGTTGCACCATCCTATGCTGAGAAATATGAAGACAAATTTTGACCTTTTAAAGGAAAGCATTAGATAGACCTGTGTATTTGTATTACTGTATTAATTTCACAGCAGTCTGAATCTGGATACCATATACACCCACGGTACAGTATTTGACAGCTGGTCCTCTACCACCCCTTGAGATGCTGAGTTAAAACCATATTCTACTTGTGCTTTTTGATAGACTAGAAAATTGTCAAGTAAAGGCACTCCTGTCAGGGCCTCAACAGGATGTGCTCATTCTGTCAGTATTACCTTCACAATGCTCGCAGAAGTGGCCTGAGGGTCAGAGCAGTCTCAGTCACTAAGACCCCACAGGCCATCCTTAGGAGTATGAAGAAACCTTAAACATCAGGTTTTACTTTCTCCAAGTTTTTTTTTTTTTTTCCTTTTTTCTTTTTTTATGTATTTGGTGCAGGGTCTCACTACAAAGCTTGGATTCATAGCGATCCTCCTGTTTCAGCCTTCCCAGCACTGGGCTTACAGTGTGTACCACAACACCTGGTGTTGGTGGGCAGCTTGCTGCACCCGAGGACAGGGCTGGCACAGCATGTGGTACCGGGGATCAAACCCGGATCCTTGCGCTTGCCCAGGTAGGCACTTAGACTGCTGAGCTATCTCCATGGCCCACTTTCTCCGAGTTTTAAAGTGAAACTTGCTGCCAATTAAGATTAGATACCTTTTAAAGTTTAATATCATGATTGTTACATAAAAGCAATCACCAATAAAAGCACTCATATCCGAAGCAGAGCAACAGACAGATTTCTATGGGTAACGCATGTGCAGTATGGGAAACGCACTGACCCAATGACGAAAAATTAGTTTTCTTTCTTCCACTCACAATTTGGTTCTATACATAAGGTTTAAGGACACATATTAAAATTTCTGGTCATCAAAACTGTATTTATTACTTCATAGATTTACATGGGAGAATAAGGTCATTTACATTTTCTACAAATATTCTTTCAGTTAAAGACCAAGCTAGAATAAATTTAGTTTTTGTTTTAGATCATTTAAAACAAATGATTACAAAACTACAATTTCAGTTAAATTACTCTACAATTACTATTTAAAAAAGAAGTTCCTAGGGCCAGGAAGATAGCTCAGGGCATAAGCGCCTGCCTGGCAAGCACAAGGTCCTGAGTTCGATCCCTGACACACTAAAAAAAGGAAAAGAAATTTCTAGTTTTGAGAAAGTAACAAATCTACTTTCAAAGTGTACAATACTATTAGGTAAAGAGTTAGAAAACTGAGGAAACAGACTTCACTGTTGAGTAGAAGACTTTTGATAGACAACCAAGGCCTTTCCCTGTCACTAGTGTAAAACTAGACTGGATCCAACCCTAACCCATATTAATGTACTTCTAGTTTTCTTCTCTTTTGTTTCCTCAGTGTGGAAAAGAACAAATTGCCTTTGAGACTTCCGAAGCTTTATTAAAGTTAGGTGAGAGGTGGCAAGGAGTCTTTGGCCTACAATTTTTCAGAAGGTGAACGAGTTCATCAGTTACCTCTGTGCTTCATCGCTACTGTCCGAGGAAAGAGGCCATGGGGTCATCTGGCCTCTGGCGCTTCATCCTGTAGGCCTCCATCTCCTCTTCAGTGGGCTCCCGAGCTTCATATACACTGTTGTAAGGCCGCTTCCTCTCATCAATCTGCATGATCTCCTTGACTTGAAGAAGGCGGGCTTCTTCAGCATTCAATGCCTATAGTGAAAGGGAAAAGATTAGTATCATGGCTCTCCAACAGAAGCCTTGTGTAAAAATGGCAGAGACGCAAAGGAAAGACTCCCTGACTGTGAAGTGTTGTATCAAGGAGCTTAGGAGTCAGCCTTTCCACTGTGATGCCCAACTAGGTACTATGTGGCTCGGAGAGCTATTTTTGCAGAGCACAATTCTGAGACATTTTCAGTTGGTGTTAAATTTCACTTAGGGGGAATCTGCCCTTAGCTCAGCTGTTTAAGTGCCTGCTCTTGCAAAGGCAGTCAGGAGCAATACTGTGGTTCGATCCCCAGCTCCACCTGCCTTTCCAGACTTGCCCTTTGGGCAGCCTGAGCCACCAAAAATAAATTAAATAAAATTAAATAAAAAATAAAATAAAATAATTTCATTTAGTAACAAAAAATGAGTTCTTTCCAAAACAAACTGGCAATATTCCTGGTTGAAAGGACTACTTTAATTTTTCTCAAGGATTTGCTAAAATGTAGAAACAACAAAGCTACAAGGCAATTATTTCTGGGTAACATGTCAACAAGTCTAAATAGCTTTACAAAGCATTTTTTTTGTTGCATTAGAGATACTTATTAATGGGGGCTGGGGAGATGGCTCAGTAGAATGAGCGCTTGCCTGAGTTCAATCCCCGATTCAACAACAACAACAAAAAGAGATACTTATCAAATATTCTAGGGCAGCAATCCCTAAGCCCATAAAATCCCCATTAATGTGACCTGGACATGTAACTCAGATGCTAATTCATGTCCTGACCTCTTACAATGAACTTAGGGACAAGACTAGATCACTTCATCCGTTATAATGCTGTTATCTGTTATGTTTCCCACTAGAGTTCACAAAGTACCTTCTTCAATTTTTCATGTTTCTTTTCCTCATCATCACTCTCTGAGCTGCTCTTTCGGTGCTTCTTCTTTTTCTTCTTCTTCTTCTTTTTCTCCTCCTTTAGTTTTTCTTGGTGCATCTAAGTGGGATGATTAAGCACAGTTCATAGAGTGAACACAAAGCTCTGGTGCATGTTTTGAAGTTCTTCCTTCTGGACTTAAAAAATTCAGGACGTACCTCCATGAGAGTTTGAGGCTTTTTCATACATTCTTCTCCAGTTATATCATCTGTAATACATTCCTCTGAGTTCTGAGGAGAAACAGGTGTCTACTGAGTTGAATGTTACCATTACTAATCATAAAAGATAAAATTTGAAGGGCCACTGAGATAGCTCAGCGTACTAAGCGCCTCCTTAGGCAAGCCCAGGACCTGAGTCCAATCCCCAGCACCATATGCCCACCTCCCACCCCATCCCCCATGCACTGAGCCATCCACAGAGATCGGGTAACTGGGCATGGTGGCACATGCCTGTAATCCCAGGGCTGGGGAGGGTGAAAACAGGAGGATCACTACAAGTCCAAACTGTGTAGTGAGACCCTGTACCAAATACATTAAACAAAACAAAAAAAAGGATAGAACTTGAAATGCAAAGAGGACGGGTCTTATCAGGGTTAAGAGCTTTAGCCATCTTATACCCCCAGAAGACAACTACTTACAACAATCTCCTTCCCCGCATCCCCTGTACAATAGGAATACTTGAAAAATGAGTGGCAGCATCTGTATCCCCATCTGCCTTCTTTCCAGTAGGATCCCCAGATATGCTGCAGACAGAGTAAGAGAGTTACTTAAAAAGAATATTAAATTAAAATCTTAATGTACAGCTGATAAGGTAATTAGCAAGAAAAATTATAGGAATCCCCAAATAAAAGGGAGAAGCTGGGCCAACCAACCTCAGAACCACTTAAGGGTTGAGAAGATATTAGTTAAAATGGCCTTAAAAATTTGAGCACAGCCCATTTTCCTTTAAGAGTGAAGCCACGTGCAGCTCTGAGCCTACTTTCCCACTTGCAGGGTGGCTGCTGCCAAACAGTGTGTGCCCCCAAGAGGTGGTCTGCGTCACCAGGCTCGTATGATCCACTGGCTCATGATACACTAGACAGTCAGTGGCCTGCGCAGCTGTAGGGAGTCAGGTCTTTGATCCTGGATTTAGACAGCTGGACTTTGGTTACTTCAAAGCTATACTAAGCTGGGTGTGGCTGGGAACACTTGTAATCCTGCTCATTTGGAAGGCTGAGTCAGGAGGACTACACATTTGAGTCTGGGCAATTTATTGGTATCCTGCCTCAAAATACAAAATAAAGGGCTGCGGAGACAGCTCAGCAGTTTAAGTGCCTACCTAAGCAGGCACAAGGACAGGGTTTGATCCCCAGTAACACATACACTGAAGACCAGGCTTGGTGGCATACACCTGTAATCCCAGAGCTAGGGATCCTGAAACAGGAGGATCACTGAGTCCGAGCTGCATAGTGAGACCCTGTACCAAAAACATAAAATTAAAAAACAAGAACCACCACCAAACAAATAAAAGTAGCTGGGAGCCAGGAGGGATAGTGCATGCCTGTAAATCCAGCACTCTGGAGACTGAGACAAAAAAAAGCACTGCAAGTTTGAGACCAACATGGGCTACAAAGTGAGCTCAAGGTGAGCCTGAACTACACAGCAAGACCCTGGTGGGAAAAAAAAAAAGCCAGGCATGCAGGAAGTAGAGTGCCCCTGGGTTCCATTCCCAGGACTGCAACAAAACAAAATATAAACTTCAACTTGATTTCAACTATAAAAGACAAACACAAAGAAAATGGGCCTTGAAAAAGAAAAAGGGCCCTGAGATCTTGCTTGGCAGTGAAGCATGCGCCTGAAGGCCCCAGGTTTACTCTCCAGCCCGCACACACATGAAAGCACAGCCGGCGGAGGTGCTGCCTGCTGTCGTGACGTGCTACACAACGCATCACATCACAAGCACAGATGTTCACCATGTAGCCTGCACCTAACCAAGCTTTTGGGCCCCAATTCTTATGTCTATGGCACGCAAGGGAGGAAGTTACACGATATTACTAGGGAATAGTCAAATATTGAATACGAGACCGTGTACAAGGCTGGACCTGGAAAAGTGGCTGCTTTTTTGAAAACAGGAGACAGACTCTAGAAAAGGATGTAACAACCAAATGATCAACAGACTTCAACTTGATTCTCACTATGAAAAAGCTACTGAAAGTATTTTTTGTGTGCATCTTTGCTTTCTTGAGACAAGGCCCTGCTGTGTAGTTCAGGCTGGCCTTGAACTCACCATGTAGCCCAGGTTGGCCTGAAACTTGCGAGCACCCTTTCTGCCTCAGCCTCCCAAGTTCTGGGATTATAGGTGTGCACCACCATGCCTGGCTTTTGTGTGTATTTCTCAAAAAGTAAGGAGTGATATTAGTATTAAAGAACTAAAGTCGGGGGCTGGGGAGATAGCTCAGTAGAATAAGCGCTTGCCTGGCAAGTGCAAGGTTCTGAGTTCAATCCCCAGTACTGCAAAAAAAAAAAAAAAAAAAAGAATTACAGTCAAGTTTCTAAAGTACAGTGGTCACACGCTTATGCAGAAGAGCAGTCATACTCTTAGAAGATAAATGACCTAAAGGGTTACATGTGGCACATCATATCTGATTTCATGTATACATGTGTATAAGTGCACACACAAACCTAGATGGAGCCCATATAGCAACATGTTAAAATTTTTTGAAGGCAGGAGAATTTAGTTCATAGAGCCTTCCTGGCAACTGCAAAGTTCTGAGTTTGATTCCTGGTACCAACCCCTCCCCCCCCCAAAAAAAAACAACCCAACAACACATTTTTTTGTATATAAGTAGATACATAGGTGAATCCTGTCATACACATTTGAAAATGTTTTTTAAAAAATCCCACAGCAATAGCCACTTAAGTTATAATAGAAACAAATGCAATCTAGAGCCCAGCTAGCAAGGAGAAATGGTTCCAGTACAGCACATACTGTGTGATTGTTGATCTTCACGTCTTCCTCATACTTGGAGCAGGCAACAGCCCGCTCCTGCCCTTTGATGACTGTGCCGTGTCTTGAGTACTCCACGTAATCCTCTGTCTGCGCCAGGAGCAACTCAGCAGGAGGCGCATCCAAGTGTTCCTGGCCACCGTACTAAAGGACATTGGATACTGGTTAAGTACGCTTTACAGTAAAGGTCTGCATTCAAATTTCTACAGAAGAGTTTGCTTTCAATTAGAGTAAAGGAACATTTTTACTAGGCCTTATTATAGACAGCACAATGAAAACAAGGCCATCAAGTTTCCACAAACAAATAAAAGAAGTCTCAGTTGCTTTTCATCCGCTAAGTATGGCAGCTTATAGTTTAGGCAGCTCTGAACCCCTCCTACCCTTACGCCTGCCCTGGCCTCCCACTGGCTCGCTGTGCGAGACCGGCTGTCCCTCTGGAGGCGGAGTCTTCCACCTCCCCTCCCACCGCGGGAGGGCTAGGACATGCGATGCCCGCAGAAGCACAGAACACCGACCCGGGAGCACCCACTGGCTGCCACTCTCCGGAGCCCTGACGTGCCTTCTGAACCCCTGGCTGGAGACCAGAGGGCAAGACCACGGGAGGCCGAGATACGTGGTCCTGCGCAAGGCCTTCCTCAGCACAGAACGCCTGGTAAGGACGAAACTCAGCTGACACACAGAATTGTAAGAAATAAACATCTGTTTTAAGCTACTAGTTTGGGGGTGGCATGTTTAGCTGCAAAAGCTCACTGATACAGTCGACAGCAACTGACTTAAATCACGGGAATTCTTTCTTTGTGGATGCTCTGCACATTATTCCAAATGTAAAAAACGTGCTTATTAAGTTGTATTTGCTCTTCAACTTCTTGCCCTTTGATGAAAATTACCTTTCCCTATTGCATGGACAACTCAACGTCGCTATCTCGTACTCTAAGTAACTTAAAGATACCAACACACCACGTATTGTTACCCTCCTATCATCTTGCTTTGAACTTTTTTCTCTTCATAATAATAATAAATGAATAAACAGAAAGAGAATTACCTTTTCCAGGATGCTCTCTTTCTGCTGTTCCTTGAAATCTTCTTTTTTGACTTTGAAGGATTTATACAGCAGCTCTAGTTTTGTAGGATCTGCCTGCAGATGCACTTCAGACCCTCTGTCATAGGCTTCCCAAGCAAACACTAGAATAATTCAAGGCATTTTAATGAGCTGCCAGCTACATTTATTGCATGTTTCTCTGAAGCAAGCTCTAAAATAATACTCTCCATTCTCCCTTTTTTGTGCGGTACTGGAGACTGAACCGGGCTTGTGGATCCCCGCCCCTTGCCTTTATGTGACAAGGTTTTCCTGTGTTACCTGGATGGGTCTTGGACTCGTTATCCTTCTGTCTGAGCCTCCTGAGAAGCCAGGATTACAGGCACGTGCCCTGCCTGGCTTCCCATTTTCACAGGTGATACAAATGCCGTGACATACAGGGAACACTTACACTGTGTCTGAGCCATCGAGATGGTATCTCCCGTGTATCTAACGAAGTTATCTCCAGCATAACTCACTCTGTAAAGACAAATTTTAAAAACTTTCAGAGATTTTCTTTTTAAGGAAAGAATTCACAGCTCTTAATCAGAATTAAAATGAATACCATCTATGGTTGGGTAAAATAGAGTTAACTTATCTTTTTTTTCTTTTTCAAAACCCCCTCATCTCTAACTTATCTTGAAATACGTACACATGGTACTTACTCATCTGGATTCTTCCCTGCATTGGCATATGGATTCTCTCTCATTGCTCTAGTTTTTGGGTCATAATAGGCAGAATTTGGATCCAAATTTCTCAAATACTAGAAGAAAAAATAAATGTCAAAAGCAGAACATTTACATATGGTAATACCTCAGTAGGTAGGAGTTGTCTAACACGGTCAATTAAATGTGTCTGCATTTCCAGGGTACAGCTGATAGAAAACAGAATAAAAAAAGGGGAAAGAAAAGAAAGAAAGAAAGAAAGAAAGAAAGAAATCAATCAATCAATCAATCAATCTTGCTTTGGAAAGACTCTGCTTACATTACCCAAATACTATCCACACATTATAGAAAGATAAAATTTAGGCAGAAAGATATGTATTTGTCAAACGTGCATGCCAGGGGGCAAGACTTACTTTTGCAATATCTTCTCGAATCCTGAGATTCCTGACAGTGATTCGTCTCTTGGAGTCAAAATTCTGCCCGGGCATGTCAATGTCATCTGCATACTTATCTTCATCCTCATCTTCGCTATTATGATCTTTCTCCTGAAAGGGGGCGAAAAAAAGACTAAGTGAGAAAGAGCAGTGTTGGTCCTTGCTCTCCTTTCCCGATAACCAACCTGAATCTTCTGTGTTATTTAACAGCCACTGCTAGTTACTGAATTATTGTTAGCCACTGAAAAAGTGCACACTCAGACAGGGCAACGCTTTATTACCATCTGAGAGTTTGGTTCCTCTTCTCCCCACTGGTGTTTTGGAGAATTCTGCATCAAGAAAAAAAGAAAGCATTTGTAGTTTTATTTCATTTTACCTACTGACTACTGAACACTACAAAAACAAAACTGGTATCTTTTGGGGATGAGGGTGTAACTTAGTGGCTTCAATTCTCAGCACTGCAAATGGAACTATTGCTACTAACAATAATTCTAACTGAACAAATTCTTGTATCTCTTCACTTGTGATGAGGACAGATGTTTTAAATACAAATACACCATTGTAACGAGTTGATTTTATTAGAGTATCTAATAGCTACTCTAGTACAGGAAATAGCTAGTTTAAAAAAATGGATACAGGGTTATAATCAGACAAGATTAATGGGAATATTAAGATGAATACAATACTCAATAAATGTAATTTCCATATGCCTTAGTCTTCAGATATAGTCTTCATTGAACCTCACTAGTGTTCTATAAGGTCCAAAAATAAAATATCAGAATCTTCTAACAAAATTCTCAGAACCGAATAAACCTTTGGCAATAAAGAAATCAGAAGACAAAATATGTTTTAAGGAAAGAAGACAAAAACATTAGGTTTAAACATTTTGTCAGAAATTCTTTTTTTCAATAGCAATTGCACATAATACCGTTAATGAAATGGTCAGTATAATATTAAGTCTCGGGCCAGGGAGATAGCTCAAGCGCTTGCCTGGTAAGTGCAGGGTCCCGAGTTCGATCCCCAGTACCGAAAAAAAAAAAAAAAAGAAAAAAGAAAAAAGGTCTCGGAGAGGCTGGGGATGATAACTCAGTGGTCCAAGAACCCGCCTGCCAAGTGTAAGGACCTGAGTTTGATCCCCAGTACCACATGCCAGCCACTGAAACTGGGTGTGGTGACACACACGTACAATCCCAGAGTTTGGAAAGTTGAGACAGGAGGATCACTGTAAGTCTGAGTTGCGTAGTGAGACCCTGTACCAAATAAATAAATAAATAAATAAATAAATAGGCTTTGGAGTAAAATGGAAGACAGTGGGTGAGGAAATGTGGAAACAGGAGTGTGTGTGTGTGTGTGTGTGTGTGTGTGTGTGTGTGTACGTGCGTGTGTACACACAGTACATTGACTAATGGGAATACAAATTTTAGAGCCTTCTTGAATGGGAAATGATATGACATAAAACAATGAAATATACATATATAGTACATCAGCAATTATACTTTTAGAGTTCATCCTCAGGAAATAACACAAAGATGTATAAGAACGTGATTTACGCTACGGCGTATAACAGCAAAAGAAATTGGGAAAGAGTCAAATTAACAACAGGGGATTGGTTATGCATTTTACCATACTTCCTGAAGCACTGAACAACCCTTAAGAAAGCCCAATCAAGGTTAAAAAAAAAAAAAAAAAAAAAAAAAGTACAATCTGCTAACATTTTATGTAAAAAAAGAATAGGGAGGGAGAAGAGGCACTATGATTGCACGTCTACATTTGTACGGTAAGCGCTGAGTCGCACCCACAAAGAAGTCATGGGGAGAAGGTCAGAAGGCTTCTCACTGAACACCTTCATAAGCTCCTGATTTCTGAATCATGAATATATGTGAAAGTGAACGTGTGAACTTACTAACACGGAAAGCAAGTCCTCACTGCTCTATGAACTGTTAAATTAAATGAGCAATAAGTGAGCATGTAAAGATTAAAAAACTTTTTTTTTTTTTCCCCAGAACCGGGGATTGAACTCAGTCCCTTGTACTTGCCAGGGAAGCACTTATTCCACTGAGCCATCTCCCCGGCCCCTAAAAAACTTCTTAAAAACATAATTACAAACATTAAATAGATATGAAAGAGGCAACTAGAAAGACACCAAAAGGTTAATAGTTGTCTGGGGTACAATTCAGTGACAGTGTATGCACAAGGCCTTGGGTTTGACCCTGGCACCACAACAAGACAAACAAAACAAAAGCCCCTAACAACAATAAAATCTCAACTCTCAAAACAAAATAAAACAAAGGCCCAAAAATCAAAACATCTACAAAATGTTAATGATATGGGATATTATCTTCATAATTCCCTAAATGTTTTCCTTAGTATGTGTCTTAATTCAAAAATCAGAAATGTAATTTTGTTTTTGTTTTGGAGATAACGTTTTCCCTATGTAGCCCAGGCTGGCCTCCAACAACTCACAGCATCCCTCCTGCCTCAGTCTCCCAAGTGCTGGGTTGCAGGCGTGCCCCACTAGGATAAGGTAGAAATACTTTTAGAAGACAGTAAGATAATGTTTCTGGATCTCCCTCAGGGGCTAGTTCAACAAAGCACATTTACACTGCTGTGGAAACTGCAGAAGAGGCTGCTCTACCATGAGAACATGCAGCTCATCTGGGTATCTGGGAGCCACGTGAGCAAAAATCCTGTGTCCTTGCTGGCGAAATACATTACTGCACTTACTGTTCTCTTGTTAGGACAAGAGCAACAGGCCTTTATCCTTTTCTCCCAGTTGGTAAAACAGTCAGAACAAAAACAGCTACCAATGACGACGTATTGACTCTGTAATATGTACGTGAGGCCTCGGGGTGGAGGGGCGGTGTATCACTATCTCTGCTGTACTACTATACTGAGACTCAGTGGCAAGTTAACATTCTAAGAGCAGGCAGCTAGGGGGCGCAGAGCTGGATTCTACAGAATTGGCTGCTGACACGTCTCATGACTGCTTAGGAGTTACTTTCTGGGCCCCTTTTGCTTTGCAAGTCATAGATGCTACGCTAAGTGTCTCTCGGAAATGTAAGTAAAAAAACTTTATGTATTTAACTTATGTGTCATGAAATTGCCAAAAAGAAGAAGAAAAAAACCAAAACCCTTTGGGGGCAGGGGAGGTGGGAATCGCACACAGGACCTCATGCTTGCTGGGCAGGTTTCGCCCCACTGAGCTATGTCCCTGGCCCAAAAGAATCTTTTACAGATAAATAAAGAAGAAAAACTAGCTGCGATTCATCTTTTCAGTATGAAAAATCTTTGCTGAGCTATAAAATACATGTTCATTAGGTAAAATACAAGAAAAAAAAGGAATAAAAGCTGGGGTTTTTGGCTGTGATATTTTTTCATAAGTCATTAAATCGTATGTGCTTACCAGTGCTTATAAAATCTTAAAAAAATACCATTTTAAGAGTCATGCACATTCTGAAATGCATATATACAATAGTTTAATCATTTCCTTAATCCTGTTATTTCAGCTCTTTCAGTTTTTTACTGTAGCAAATGGTGCAGTGAAAGTCTTTGAGCATAATGATTTGTGCATAAAAGTTATACAAATTCTTCAGGGTGGGTAGACTAACTCAAAATTTAATTCCTGAAAAGATAATTTAATAATATTATAATTGAACAAATAACTCAGGGCAACATTCCTTCCGATGACTGTTTTGATTTCTATTTCCCTGAAAAGCATAGTGTCAGCTTTACTCCTCCTTCCCTGTGACAGCACAGGCTGAGCACTCTGCACAGGAAATGCCTGCAACTACACGTGTTTCAATTTCAGTTTGGTTTTTTTT